CACAGACAAAGATATGTTGGTATAGCATTAAGTACAAGTTTAATGAACGTCACTTGACTCTGTACAATAGATGAGAACAAAGCCTTCTTGCGGAGATTAAAGAACGGAGCACCAAGATACTTCTCCTTATCTGAAACACATTTCACATGCAAGAAACGTATCAACATTATTTCATTTACGCATGATGGACATTTTTACTAAGGCTCTGTTTGGAAGGAGTACAAATACATGCCTTAGTAAAAATCCTAGACTTCCCATGATTGATCTCCTGTCTTGAGCTCAACCCAAACAACCCTTAACTTTTTTTGAGGTAAAATAATGCACTCTTAACTAAAATGGCTAGTTTCAGTTTTTTGGGTTTTTTTTTATAAAAATACCCTCAACAACTATATAGAGGGGTATTTATGTATTTTGGTTTGGGGAGGGGGGGGAGAAAGAATGATACAAATGCCCCCCAACAGCTATATAAGAGCTAGTTTGGGGAGGCATTTTGGGTAAAATGATAAATAACTTTACAATGACCAAAATACCCCTCCCAACAACTAAAAAATGACTAGTTTTTAGGGTATTTTGAGCAATTGAATTATATTTTCAATTCCTATAAATAGCCCTATCATCCACCATTCTCATCACACCAATTCAACAATTCTCTTAATCTCTTCTCTAGTTCTCATACTCTCTCAAGTTTCAATCTTTCATACATTCTTTGATTCTCCAATTCTCAACTTTATTGAAGTTTCAATTTGGGAGGCTTAGACTATTGGAGTTGAAAGCCTTCAACTGTTGAAATCAAATTGAGATTCCAAACCAACAATCCGGGTAAGTGCAATTAAATTAATTTTTATTTTTTTAGAATTAAAAAAAATGGTCGGCTCCTCCCAAAACTATTTCCCCAACATGTTCATTGTTGATGATATCCAGTCGCAGCATGGTAATGTTAGCATCGATATGGATGCTATTGATATTAACAGAGCTTCCACCCCTAGTACTAATACTAGGGGAAAGAAAAAGAATGCCACTAAATTGATTAGCTTGGTTTGGAAAATATTTAAAGTAGAGGAGGTTCAGGGGAATGGAAAAAGAGTTGTTTGCCAAAAATATAGGAAAGATTTTATCTATTGTACCAAGGGTGGTACTGTTTATTTGAACAAACATTTGTTCACCCATGAGAAAGAAGAAGAAGAAGAAGAAGAAGAAGGGAGAAAAACAACACAAACACAAATTGGGCGTGGGGTATTTTGGTCATTATAAAGTCATTTATCACTTTACTTAAATACCCCCTAAATTAGTTGTTATATAGTTGTTGGAGGGTATTATTATCATTTTATCTCTCCCAAAATCAAAATACATAAATACCCCCTGTTTACCTGGTTATAGCTATTGGGGAGTATTTCTTTAAACTTCCCCCCCCCCCCACCAAAAAAAAAAGTTGAAATTAGCCATTGGGGGGGGGGAGGTCTCCAATGGCTAGTTCTTCAAGCAGGCCGAGCACAGTCCACTATGAGCCACGGGCAGCACAACACTATAGTGCGGGCCGTGTCATCTCAGCTTGTTGACCTGAAACCCTAGTCTCGACACGACCCATATAATCATACCGAGCCGCAGCACACCCGATGAACATTTGCTGCGGCCCAACCCAATTTACACCTCTACTCCCGTTGTGTAGCCCCATGAAAAAAAAATAACACTATTCTATGCCTTTGACATATCAACTTTGAGGGCAAAAACAATGGACTTTCCTTTTTTCTTTTTAATTAGTTGACCACTTCATCAATATTTATAATTGTCATAAAATGATAAGAACATGGTGAAAGTTTAGAAACTGTTTATACCACGAGATATATCGCCTACACCTAGTAATATGTGGATGGGGTGAGGGTTTGGCTATGCGAAAAAAATCTCCAAAGCCATTGAATGAAGGCGAAACAAAAGAAAAGTTGTCTCAAAAAAGCTTGCATTCGTATCAGAGCCAGGTTTCGATCCTGGGACCTGTGGGTTATGGGCCCACCACGCTTCCGCTGCGCCACTCTGATTTATTAATTTTACGTGTATTATTAACTAAAATAAAAGATTATAGTAATAATTTAAGTTAATTGTAAATGAGTCCAAGCTTTTAAAACTGAACAAAATAATTCAACTAGCCTACCACTTTTAAGACCTTTCTTATCATCTCTCTTCTTTCCATTAACTCCTTCAATTATCTCTGTTATTAATTACGCCATTAACTCTCTCTCCTCCAATAACTAATGCCATCAATTCTTATCTTCTCTCAGTTACTCAATTAAACTATCTAAAATTCATTAACCCTATCAATGTCTATATTCATTTCAATTTAATTATAATTTTATATCTATTAAATGCACTTACATTTAATTATAATTGTTAATAAAAAATAAAACTCCATCTAATTACAAATTATAGTATAATTAACTTCATAAAATTACTATTTACCTCATCATAAAAGATAAATTCTATTTAATTGCAATTTATAGGCTAAATAATCTATTTCCATTTAAAAATAATTAATCAAGTAAGTTGCATTTCAAAATAAAAAATTATTTACGTCACCCAACAATACAATTAGGGTGTATGTTTAAAATCTAAAATACATTTAATTATATTTAAAACCCATTTAAGTTACATTTTGAATTTAAAATTGTCTTAATTTACTTTCATTTCATTATAATTATTCACAAATTTAATTTTATAAAATAAAAGCGTTAATAAAAAATATCACAAATTATTCAATAGAAATCTTAAATTTAATTAATGCAAACAAAACATCAGAAAGCTATAATCCATTTACATTCCATCTAAAAATTATAAAATTTATAAAAACTTATTACTTCTAAAGATAGTTATATCAATTTAAATTCCATTTATAAATAATAAAAATCAAGACAAATTCAACTAACTATGTTTGATAAAAATTAAATATTAATAACAATAAGTAATTCATAAATTTAAAATTAAAATCAATTTACATTCTACATGAAAACAATAAAAGTTAAGTAATTTAACAAATTACTTAAATAAAAATCATTATTAATTTTTATTATTAATAAAAATAATTTTTACTAAAAGAAATTTTGAAATTAATAAAACTACATTTTATTAAAATTAATAAAAAGATAAAAAACTTGATAAAATTTATTTATCTTAATAAATTAATAAAAATAATAATATAAATTAAAAAATTAATATTCATTCAAAAATTATTTACAATGAGTATAAAATTAGTAGAAAATTATCTAATAATAATAAAATTAATAATTTTTGGAAAAATAATATAAAATAATACAAAGTGATGGTTTTTTTTTAATTAACATACAAAGTGATGGTTGAGTTGGACTCAGGCCTGGCCGCTTGGCTCAACTAAATGTCAGACTTAAGGATGTGTTTGCCCTTCATATCAATCACTCAAAGGTAAAGATGCAGCTTTAGATTCTCTTTATTTTTATTGTTAATAGACTTTTCATTGTTTTTTTTTTTTTTTCATCAGAAACCAGCCTCAATAGTAACTCCATGGGTGTTTTAGACATTTTGTTGTCTTTCTTAAATGATTCTACCTAGGGGTGCTCACGGTATTACCGATTTCTAGAAAACCGGTAACCAAAACCAAAATGAAGCCAATCAGTTAACTAATTGACCGGTTCAGTTAACCATTGGTTTGGTTCATCATTTTTTTTTAGTTTTTTATATTTATAATAAATATATAATAAAAACTAAAAATATATATAAAATATTATATTTTAAATAATAATATTATAAATGTATATATTTATATATAATGCATATTTATTAATTTATAATATATAGAAAATATAATATATAATATACATAAATATACGTATAATATATAGCATGGTTTTCAAAATAGGACCGGACCGGAAAAATCGGGAACCAGTTAGGTGACCGATTTCGGTTTTCCCCAAAACCGGAAGTTTGCCCAAAACCGTTGATTTTGGTCAACAAACCGCTGACCCGGGCGATTAACCATTCGAACAGATTTAATTGTTTTTTATTTTTTTGTTAGAATGAACTGACCTTTTGATTTGAATGGTCAAACCATTCGACCCAATAACTAGACCCCTGACTGGTTCAATATCCGAGTCATTTTTAAAAACCATAATATATAGAAATATATGTATATCAATCGGTTCGGTTAACCGCCGATTTTCTATACTAGTTAATCCAAACTAAACTAGCCGGTTCAATTCGATTTGATCTTATTGGTTCGATTCAATTTTTTTGATTTTTCTTGCTCACCCCTAATTTTACCAAAGGGATCTACTTGCAATTGTGTGAGAAAGTTGGAGGAGATTACAATATACCTTAAAATTGCCATGTGCCATGAATCATGCCACAGCGCGTGTCTCAAATTTTCTTATTTCGGCCTCTTGTCAACATATTGCAAGTAGACCTGTTCATGGGCTGGGTCGGGCTGGGCTTTCACTCTGTATTAACAGATTTTTCTAAGGCCCGAGCCTGAGCCCGAACTGACCATCGGGCCTACAATTTGGGCACGAGCCCGGCCCTCATAAAAAGCTCAAAGCCCGGGCCTAGGCCCGAGCCCGAAATTTAGTCCATACTGTTATTATTGTTGAAGCGGCCGAATAGAGAGAGAGAGAAATTATGAAGAAAAGAATAAAAAATGTATATATTAAATTATGAATATATATTTTAATAAATATTATATTATTTATATTTTATAAAATATATAATGCTGAGTCGGGCCGGGCCAGGCTCGAACTGGGCTTTTTTGATAAATCCCGAGCTCGACCCAAAACATAATTAGGCTTACTGTGTTAGGCTAGAGGTCAGGCCCACGGGCCTAATTACATTACCAAGCCCAATCGGGATGCGGACCGGGCTGGGCCGGGTCATTGGGCTACCCGACCCATGAACAGGTCTAATTGCAAGCATACGAGACGAGGAGACGAAGGAATAAGGCTGAAGGACGATTTCTTGGCATTAGTGTTCTCCTTCTTAATCTCTGTCCGACGTCCCTTTACTTACTTTCCAAGCAGAAGATGGCAAGCATACACTTGTCACCAACGTGTCACCGTTAATGTGTTCATCATGTTCTTCCAACCCAAGTCCATATTACAAATACTCAACGGAGGAGATAAACCCCACAAGCTTTCTGGGTTTTCTTGTATATTTGCAGAGAGAGAGGGAGTAATTTGATTTGTAGAGCAAAAATGGCTGAAGTAGAAGAGGTGAGAAACAAGCAGGTTCTACTAGGAGACTACGTTAATGGCTTCCCGAAAGAGACGGACATGTTTCTGAGCACTAAAACTATACAGTTGAAGGTGCCTGAAGGATCAAGGGCGGTTCTGGTGAAGAATCTCTACTTATCCTGCGATCCCTACATGCGAAATCGAATGACGAAGCCAGACGGCGAGCCGAGCATCGGTGATTCCTTCAAGCCTGGATCGGTAACTCTATATTAATTCTTTATTGTTCAAGTTGCCATTGATTTGGCTGTTGGAAGTGTTGTTTATTAAATTCTGAGCTGCAATTGGTGAAGAATGAAGATTTCAAAGAACGTAACTGAAGAAAATAAAATAATCTTCTAATGCTAATTTGAAGTGTTGATGAGATTGCTTCTCTGATTTTCTTGCTGGAAATTAACGTGCAGACTATAACTGGGTATGGTGTGGCTAAAGTTCTGGATTCTGGTGATCCAGACTTCAAAACAGGCGATCTCGTGTGGGGGATAACTGGATGGGAGGAGTACAGTCTTATAGATACAAAGCACGAATCCCTCTTCAAAATTCATCACACAGACATTCCTCTTTCTTTCTATACTGGAATTCTCGGTATTTTTGTCACACTCAGTTTATTAATTTTTCATGTTTGTGGGTCCTGAATAAAACTAAGATTTGGAAAGCTTAGTTCTATTTTTTTTATGAAATTAGCAGATTGCATATCCTGTTGAAGTTGCCTATTAGAAAACTTATCTGAAAGTCGTTTATTATGAGAAAGTTTTTTGTTGCGACCCGCTTCACAAAGTACGGTCCCTAATTATATTAGACCTGAATACGAAGAGTTATATATTTTGGGGTTTTCTTTATTGTAAATGTGAGTCTTTCTCTTGTAAGAGAGTATATGTGAGTATTTGGGGTTTTGGGTTTTCAGTGATTTGGGTGTATTGATTTCACACAGTGGATTTAATTTACATGAGCTAATTCACATAAATCTGTGTATCTTCTCTGTTTACTTCTCTTTTATCTCTGTTTTTCTTTCGATTTTGGGTGCCATTCGAATCTGTATTTTCAAGATGGAAGAACAGCCAACCCAAAAACAAATGAGCTGGTGTAAATCTAAAAATGTTTTCTAGCTAGTTGCAGATTAAGGTCCTCTCACAATCTCATTTGGGAAACTGTGTGAACATGTTTCCAGCTTTGCATGAAATTGTCCTTGAACTATTATTACATATAGCTTGTGTAAATCTTTAATTTCCAGCAGGTTGTGGATTGGGAAGAAAGTTCAGATGCTTTCTAAATTCTTGATGTTGGCTGCTCCAGGCTCCAGCTGACAGCCATATATATGATGATTTCTTCATAGGTATGCCTGGAATGACTGCTTATGCTGGGTTTTATGAGGTTTGCTCTCCTAAGAGAGGAGAGAATGTGCTCATATCAGCGGCATCAGGTGGAGTTGGTCAGCTTGTGGGACAGTTTGCCAAACTAATGGGTTGCTATGTGGTTGGAAGTGCTGGAAGCAAGGAAAAGGTCAGTCTCCCACATGATTGCTTTCTATGTCAATTTCAATCTAGACCCACATTTTGTTCCGTTTGTGTGCAGTGCAAATCTGAACTGGTATAAGAATTTTGCACCTGCTTCAGTTTTGCATCCATTCGTTTGTAGTTATGATTTGCACTCCCAAAATTAAATTTGTACCTTCTTGTCTCATATAACTCATGCATAATTGATAGAAAATTTGTTGCACCTTACTGTTATATCAATTCTTTCTCACGCAAAGTGGGGGCCACATCATTTTATTTCTTACATTTCCCAAATAAATAATCCTCCTGCTGCCTATATTCTCTTTCGTCTAAGGTGGAGTCGTGGAGAGTGGTTTACTTCCTACTTCACTTCTCTTCAGGTCTTTGAGTGGGCTTGGGTTGGGTTTTGTCAAATTAGCCTGAGCCCAAAACATTAGAAAATGTTTAGTCAGGCCAACCCGATCTGCACCCTCTAACTTCAGACAATCAAAGCCCCCTGCCACCGGGGCTGTGGTTAAGGGGATGGGGATGGGCCCAAAGCCTTCGGGCCACTTATGTTTCCCTCATCATCCTGCGTATTTCCATTCCCTTCTTAAAAATACATAATTTAGAGTTGCAAAAGTAATAAAAAAACTGATGATATAATATAATATAAATAATATAGTATAATATTATAATATAAATAATGTATAGAATATGTATAGAATATATATATATATATATATATATATATATATATATAATTGGGTCATCACAACCAGATCGGGGTATATCCGAATTCGATCCATTAACTAAACAGATAAACTTTTCGGATCTGATCCAATTTATTAGGATCAAGAGAGGTATCCAAATCTGATTTTTATTGATTCGACTTATTTGCAGCCCTAGTGACACATTCACTTCATGAGTTATTCCCTAAATCGCTGGGGCTCGGAGTTTTAGGGGTTGCTTCAATTGGCGGGCCTCATTATGGAATTTGGCTCTGCTCTTCACAGACCTTGTAGTTACATCCCACCCTGTATTGCGAACATTTTCCTATAAATAATAAATACAAATACAGGAGATGTTTCTAATAGGCACACTCTGTGAGGAGCATATCACTAACTTCTCTTTTTCTTGACACATTAAGGTTGATTTATTGAAGAACAAGTTAGGGTTTGATGAAGCTTTCAACTATAAAGAAGAGCATGACTTGGATGCTGCTTTGAAAAGGTGAGTCTTTGGAATCCATCAACTATCAACTGGAAGCTGTGCAAAATGATCAATTAATTATCTTATTTAATGCATTAGTTTAACTTAATTATCATTATATAGAATGGATTATTTGACTTGCTTTAAACTGTCCCTCTAGGCTTCTAGTTCTCACTATCTAATTCCAGCCGGTGCCCCATATCATCCTTCTAGGAAGATGTCACCAAATCTACATTCAGAACTGGAATGCCATCATCTTGTAGATACCCCTAAAACCTGGCTTGCTCTGGCCCCCAAATAGTTGGCTCCAATAAGAGGTTAGGAGATTTTCTACATCAAAGGTTCCACCTGCCATAATTTTCATACATACCCAGAATGCAGATCTACTGTTTGAGATAATGCAGGAGATGCACTAACCACACCTAATGCCTCACAAACTTTTTAACATTAACATTGTTTTTGTCCTTGTACCAGTTTGCCATGAAATGGGTAAGGTTAGTCATCTTACTAATATCCCCTATTCCTCTTTATTCCCAAAACTACTTTCCTCGGAGTGTTGTTTGTTTGCTGTGCAAATCTAAACGGAATATAAATTTTGCACTTGCTTTAGTTTTACATGTGTTTGTTGTTCCCAACTAGGGCTGCAAGTTGGGCCGGGTTGAGGCCAACCCTATCCCAACCCTAACTTCTAAACCCCCAACCTTAACCCTAACCCAACCTAGCCTTCAATCCGATCAATCTACCCAACCCTGAGTTCTAAACCCTCAACCCAACCTAACCTTCAACCCGATCAATCTACCCAACCCTAACCCTAATTAAATTTCTTCAACTCTAACCCAATCCAACCCAATCCAAAGTCAACTTTGGGTTGGGCTCAACCCAACATTTTTCCCATCTCTTAAAATCTCATAAAATTATTTAATCTCAAATCTTAACTCAATTTTCACTATATATATGTTTTATTAGTATTTATTTGTTGATGTTTTAATTGGTTTTTTTAGTATAAAATTCAAAAATATGGGCAGCAAACATTAAAGAGGAGATGAAAAATAAAATATTCAAAAAAACATAAAATATGTTATTAATTTTATTTGGGATTAAGTGAAGTGATTATTTTAAAAGAAAAACATGATAGTATATAGTGAAGGTTATTCAACCAAGGTTCAAAAAATTGTTATGTATTGGCCCGTATCGGCTAATATGTATCGTATTGGGCCCTTCCCGATATGCCCTTATAGGGGTTGTATCGGGTCAGGGCCTGTTTTAGAGGGTAGTCGGGACTTAAACTAGCCTCTCTGAACCAAAATTGAAAAAAAAAATAAGTAGAATTAAAAAAAAATGGGCCGATACTAGCCGATACACCCTACTATGATATATATAATATATATTTATATATGACATATACTATAAAGTCAGGTTTGGGTTGTCCAAGGGGTCACTCTAATCCAACGCTTGGCTCATGAATTTCAATCCAATCCTAACCCTAACCCGAGCATTAAGGTTGGGTTCGGCCCAACCCTACCCAAGTTTCATTAAGGTTGATTTCTACTCCTTATCTGAATGCAAAAGTTGATTTTTCTGGTTTCCCCTCTCAATTCCCTAAGGTGGAAACTATGCCATTTTTCTTCCAACTTTACTCCCCCAAAACAAATTAATAATCTCTCCTATTTTACCTTTCACAAACAAAATCTGAGGCAAAAAGTAAACCAAAATTTACACCCAGTCCACTTGAACTCCTCTGCATTAATACCACTGCAAATGAAATTTGCACTTCATTTTCATACATTGTGCTGCTTGATTGTTGTCAGGTACTTTCCGAGAGGTATTGATATCTACTTCGAGAACGTAGGAGGGAAGATGCTCGACGCTGTCCTCCTCAACATGCGACCCCACGGCCGCATAGCTGCATGTGGGATGATCTCCCAATACAACCTGCCACAGCCTGAGGGAGTGCACAATCTGTTTTGTCTGATCACCAACCGGATCCGAATGCAAGGGTTTGTAGTTTTCGACTACTTTCATCTCTACCCCAGGTTTCTGGAGTTCGTTCTCCCAAATATCAGACAAGGGAAGATAGTTTATGTCGAAGATAAAGCTGTGGGTCTCGAGAGCGCGCCTGCAGCTCTAGCTGGACTCTTTTCTGGGCGCAATGTTGGAAAACAAGTAGTTGTAGTTGCTCGTGGATGATTACTTTCTTCCATGAATCTTCTAGTCTGGTTGATCCGTCTGTAGCAATGGGACAATTAATCAAATTGATGTAACTGTGTTCGGTGTTGTCAATGGACACATGATCATGATCTAAGCCTAAGCCTGGAGTAGAAGATATCAATTGGTAGATCCATGGAAATTCACGAATATTCTGAGACCAACAGAACTGAACTCATAGAATCACGCAAGGAGAGATCGTGATCTTTGTACGTTGGTTATAAAGGAGAATTATATTACAATAGATGTTGTGACGATAATAAATAATCTCGTATATGTAGTATATATTTCTTCACAGACGCAAGGGATCGAGCAGAGATCCAATCCAAAACTTCTATTGGAGTTGGAGGCTTCGATCTTCTTGACTTCTTGTTGTCTCATCCAATCCAACAGCGAAAATAAATCACTTCCATTCAATCTCCCATGATCTCAAATTCAGGTAGTTAAATTAAACATGAGACTCTAGTTCACGGGTTGGGTCAACTTTTTGTTAGGTCTGAATAGAAACCATTCCAGTTGGCTTGAGTATTAGCATTAGTTGGAACTCAGTTTTTGGTATCAATATCCAGGGCTCTTTTTGCAGTTATCACCAATTGTTATCCCATCCTATTAGTTATGCATTCTATGAGAAGATCTAGCTAGAACTAGGGGTGTCAATTTGGTCCAATCCGATTCAGTCCAATGTGAGTCCATTATAAATGGATCAGGTCCAATCTAATGAATGCTTTGGACCAATTTGGACCGGTCCAATTCAATGTCTGGATCATCCAATCTGTTTAAATTTGTTTTGATTTAGAATGGTTTCAACCCAAACTCGGTCCATTGATATATATATTACATATATTTTTAATCCAACCCAATCTGATATAAATTTGTAATCCAATCTAATAAATATTTTGGACTAGATTAGTCCAGTCCAATCTGTCTTATTGGTCCGTCCAACCCATTCAAATTGATTTTGGACTGGATGGGGTCCAATCCAAAACTGGTCCATTGACACCCTTAGCTAAAACCGGTCCATTAACACCCTTATCTGGAACCCGAATCCAGGGGATATCTTCTAACGGTCCAAGGATGACCATCCCAAACAGTAGCTTTAATTTGTCCAAGATCTAGGCCGGGATGGCTTCCTTCCCTCCTCCAGCATTCCTCAGCTATATCTTGGATATTCATCTTGACTTTTTCCTTCGAAATCGCCAATTTCATTAAGAGTCGCTCTAGCCACTGAGTTTCTCGTTCAAAACCATTATTTGAGTCTGAATCACCTGCCAACAAAATACATCCCAACAATGTATCAACAAGATCTCACACCACACATCTCATATATGAAGGGTCCCACTGTTGTGGTGGGTCCTAATCTCATGGTGAGATGCACGGTGTTAGATCATGTTGATAGAGGGTTGGAATGTGTTTTGTTAGCAAAAGATCCCAACTCCTATTATTTTCCTCCATGCTCTTTTGAAGTTCATTTTTTTGGGTTCATGAAGTAACCTTGTGATTGTAACCTCTGAAGAACGGAACTAGCTAGGGGGAAGCTCTTTGTAGTTAACCTAAACAGAGAAAGCTCTCGAAACAAATCTTTCCCAAACTAAGCCCAAGTTGCAGCTTTTATACTGTAGCATTTGTTTATTATAAAATGGCCCAATCCACTACATCTCCGCCCCACAACGTCCCGCCCCACAAGGCTCCACAGCACATCCCCGTCGTGTATTGGGAACATCTCTCGATGATGTACTAGAACCGATGATGTCATCATCGGGAGATGCTCTCAATACACGGCAGGGATGTGCTGTGGGGCATTGTGGGGCGAGACGTTGTGGGGCAGAGATGTGAACTCCACTTTTGCTACATAGCATTGTGCTAAAACAACAAAATTAAATCCTTTGATTTATTAATGTGGCTCCACCTTAAATTCGATGAAACGATGTCTTGGTGGAGTCTCAACAATAAATCTAAGGCCTTCATTCTCAGTTCTAGCCCTACACTACAACACTGTCGTAGCAAAAGTGAACTAAAAAAGGACTATAAATGATCCTAGAAATCTGTGAAAACACTGAAAGATTTCAAATTCAATATTTTCTCAGAAAACGGTGCATTGCTACCAGCGGTGAAATGATGTGGTATCATTTTGGACATTGGATAATATAGACCATGTTGAAAATGTTGCTACCAGCACTGGTACCAAACAAAACTAGTGTTGTTTTCTCAGAAAATAATCTATGTGGCAGCACTGTTTTCCTCAGAAATTTGGTGAGATGTCCAAACACCTACTTTAGTGTTTTAAAAACCAACCTGGCCGTTTTAGCATCTAGGTCACAGTTCAGTGTTTCAACCATCTAGGTTGGACAGGTTAGACCGTAAAACAGCACCAACTTAAATAATTTATAATTAGATTCCACTTGTAATATATGTATATATGTGGTTTATGTTAAATCTAATTTATTTTTATTTCAGTTTTATGATTTTGTATAAATAAAAAGCTAAAAATTGGGATATGAGGAAAAAAAAGGTAGGGATTGCAAGTAGGTGAGTTAGGTTGAGTTTTAGCTTGATCCCAAGCTTGACCCTAAGAATTGGGCCTAAGGACCAAGCCTAAGGTCAAGCTGAACTATCCAACCCAAGTCCAGCCTACACTAGAAATTTGATGCACTCGGATTGGGCTTGGGTTGGTCAATCAACACACTAAAAATTGGTACACATGTATGTGTATATGTATGGCTTATTAAAAAAATTATGCATATATGTGTTTATGCATGCAAATATGTGTCTATATATTTATATATACATGTATATAATCCAGTTGGGCTTGGACAGGATTTGGGCTACCTAAGGGCTAGGTCCGAGCCCAACTTGAAAAATTTAAAAGACCAAACTTTTGGGCTCGGGCCTAGCTTGGGTTGATCTGGACTTGAGTTGGGTCCACCTAAGTTGCATCCCCAAAAAAGGGGGATTTTTTTGGCAAAAATAGTGGGGCAAGGCACCTTTAGGACACATAGATCTTGAAAAGTTACCAAAAAAAAAAAAGATCACTCCAATCAAACAACCAATCACAAAGTTATAGCCTCCAAAAATTTGCATACACAAACACACACACACACACACACACACACATATATATATAGATAGATAGATAGATAGATAGATAGATAGAGAGAGAGAGAGAGAGAGAGAGAGAGAAAGAGAGAGAGAGCAAAATGCCTACATGGTGCTGACATGGCGAAAATGCCTTGGAGGAACAACTCCTACACCAAACACCACCTAAGCGAGCATTGAACACCTGCCATCTCCGAGTTAACCTTTTCTATGACATATTGGCTCAAGACTAAAATCGTGAACATGGCCTCCCTAGGAGTCTAAATCTCCTACCAACAAAATACATTGTAACACCCTACCAACATGATCTGACACCAACACCGCACATCTCACACATAGTGAGTCCCAATCTTATAGTAAGATGACTCATGACGGAAGCCATGGTTGAACTTGATATCGTGCAAGGTACACGTTGATAAAAAAAGACCTAGAATCCACTAGGTTGAAACTCTAGTAATGCACCAGAAATTAAGAGGAATTCTCTAAAGAAATTGTATTTGAAATTTACTGCCTGTAAACAAAGGCTTAGGGTCCCTTTTATAGGCCTTGAATTACAAACTTACTCAAACTAGGAAACCAATTCCTAAGGAAACAAATAGGAAATGAGACAACTCCTACACCTTTCCTAACTAATCTAAAAGAAAACAAACAAATAAAAACTCTACTAAGATGGTGTTTGATAACACTTTTCAGACTTTCGAAGTCTGAAAATGTTGCTTTTCAAACATCAGAGGTGTTTGGAAGTATATCTAAATTTGGGTCTGAAAATTATTTTCAGATCTGAAATAACAAGACATGGGTCAAACGCTAAACGCGTTTAGATGCATTTCAGACCTAGCCAAAAGTCCAAAATACCCTTGAAAATGTTGCTTGCATTTCTCCCTCTCACAGTTCATCTTCTCCACTTGACGCAGTAGCGGCAAGTGACTCGTCTGGCAAACTAGCGGCGGCGAGTTCCGTCCTTCCTCTCTCTCTCTCTCTCTCTTCTTTCTTCTTCTTCTTCTTCTCTCGCCGTTGTAACCAAATAGTCTAATTTAGGGGTAAAATAATAAAATTAGTGAATTTCAGATGCTGAAGGTTTGATCCAACACAAACAACCTTTATTCAGGTTTGATCCAACACAAACAACCTTTATTCGGAGCCTCTAAAAAATCCAAAAACAACTATATCTATTTTCAGATTTTAGACACTTAATATCTTTTTAACAAATTTCAGATTTATCAAATACCACCTAATTAGACTAAAGAACTCAAGAAAAGAAACAAATAAAAAAGTTGAGTGTTTTAGTAGGACTACATTTTCATCCTTTCATTCCTTTTTGGACAATGTCTTTCTACCCAATTGTCCCATGTATTTATTTACAAGCGGCTCCACATCATAATATGTATAATGCCAGATCATATACATTAATAGGGTGTTGGTAAGATATTCCAACTCCCTTTCTAGTGTGATTCCACTACGTAGTCACATCATCTTAACACAAGGTGAGGCCATAAACCAACCTCGAAAGTCGAAACCTCTTATTGATTGCCGACTGTGCTTGCGTTGTGTTTGGGAAAACGATTGATTGCCGACACCAATATTGAAAATGTATGCATTGGCGCGTTATAACTAGTTTGACCGATAATACCGCCCCACGCCAGCCAAGTGCTATACCCCATAACGACTTATGGGTTACAAAGAAATCACGTTCAGCAACATCTAGTAATGGTGGTATTGATTGAATAATTGAATTCACCATCAACTCATTCTAATAAAAAAATAATAATAAATGAAAGAATGTTACTCACGTTATGTGGGGTTTTGGTGAAATAGACAAATACGTCCTAACTCCTAACTTAGATTTATCTAACCTACCCCTTGTAGTTTGAGGTCAGGATAGGGGTGATCGATCGTTTTCAGCCCGACGGACCCGCATAATCCAGTCTGCAAATTCTGGCTTGCGCTATCTGTTTTGTTTTGGGATAAGTAGAGTGCACTCCAACTCACAAATCTGAAATTACAGCCCCTTTTAGTTTACTAGTAGCTTCTTATAAATCACATCCTGTTCATAGATTTGGCATCCTATTTATGGTCAGGATGCATCCCGCCTCTACCGCGGAGCTAAGATTTCTGGGGGTGGATTGAACAATAAAAACCCCTTTTGTTTATAATATTTATATATTTTTTGAGGGGTTATATAATTTGGGGTAG